AACTGTCCATGATGGTAGGGTAGGCTCCCCAGCCTCTAGTGACCYCACYTCACTGGGRCATTTTCAGTGTTTCTATAATGATGCTAGCATTTGTAGAAAGAGTGTTTTTATAGAGAAACAACAAAAGGCAGGGTTTACGAATAAACAAGGTCTTAGTAGATGAAGTATTAATGATTAAGTTTGGTAGGAGGTTGGAGAAAGTATGAAATACTTTGAAATTTAGTCTGTGTGTGTGCACGGGTTTTTCCTACAACYTGGGGAAAATTTTCCCAAAAAAAGCAGCCTCGTGGGGACCGAAGTGAATCGTCCTCACAAGTCCAAATGCAAATTACGGGTGTGGGGTTAGGTTTAGGACCAAGGTTTAGGTTAGTTTTAGGGTCAGGTAGGTACCTGTGAGGTTAATTTTAGGGTAAAGGGTCAGGGTTAGGCTATAAAGTCTAAAAAAATTAATGTAAGTCAATGGAAGGTCCCCACGGGGTTCAAGAACAAACGTGTGTGTGTGTATTCACATCTTTATATTGGTGTGTGGACATGATTATAAGAATATTTTATTGTTATGTGTACATTTGTCTGCTCCACACAAAGGGAAAAAAACATTTGTGGGTCAGGGGTTAGGTTTAGGGCTAATATATGAATTAAGTTTAGTTTAGGGTCATGTATGTATCTGGGAGGTTAGGTTTAGGGTAAGGGGTCATGATTAGGGTGTAAAAATGAATGGAAGTCGATGTAAAATCCACACAAGTGTGTGTGTGTGTGTGTGTGTGTGTGTGTGTGTGTGTGTGTGTGTAGCAGGGACCCACGTGACAGCTGAGCTCAGGCACTGGTACCAGTCATTGAGGTCCTGCTGGTTGCTCGACATCAGCAGGAGTTTGGCTCTGGGGAAGGTTAACTGAAGGAAGAGGAAACAGAAGGAGGAATGAATGTGAGCAGCTGGATGTTATACTAAGAATGACATAATTTGCAAAAACTACATGAAATAATAATGCTCCTTCTTTGTCRAGGTTTAGGTTTAAGTTGGTATTTTAGTTCCATAAATCAGTGGCTCCCAACCTTTTTAGACTTGTYTACCTACTGAGCCATTTTGTCATACCACTAGTACCCCTTCAGTCAAACGTAATGATTCTCCAAAACTATAATCTACCGATTATTAAATGAAAATTATTTATTTAACCCCTTAGAATTTTAAATTCATAGGCATTTTATTTTTTCTGCTCAAATTAAACAAAGATAAAAGCACTGCATTGTAAGTGAATAAGTAATTAAATAAATAAACCAGGTAATGGCAGGTGAAGGAAGCAGCAGCGTTTAAAATACATTGTATTGTCTAAATTTTGTCAGAAACTCACCCAAATGAGCAAATTCCATGAGATTCCATGTTTTATACTGGATTCTATTGTGTTAATTCTGTGATTCCTGCTGCAATTTCCACATTGTGGAAATCATAGGGCCCTACATAWCCCAGTCCTATTTTTATTTTATTTTTTACACACCTGGGAAATTTTTCCACTTACCCCTGTAATATGCTCGCGTACCCCAAGGAGTACARGTACCGCTGSTTGGGWATCATTGCCATAAACCACAAAATGATATTTAAAATATTCCACCATTTTTAGAAAACAGCATAACCCCATTTTCAAAAAGTCTGAGTACAAATAGTCAAAACTTTAATATCAACCTCATAATAAAATGTTTGTGCTTTAGAACTGAAACATTTGCTTGGATTACAGAAGGRTGTAGCAGAGGTTTTGTTTCAAACATGGTAAACATATCATGGCACCAACATGGTCCAGTAGTACATGTCTTCTTGCTTGTATACATACAGTTTTATATTAGTTTTATATWGTGATTTTTAATGTTTTTAGATTCTGACAGTGTTTGTTTTTGTTACTTTTTCCTTTATATTTGATTTCCAGAATGTTTCCTAAAAAGACCACATCCAGTCACCCTGGGAATTTCGGACTAGATGCAACGATATCCCAAACTATGAAAGACCTACAAACGTCTGGACATCCATCTCCTGAGACCACAGATCCACCACATCCAGGATCAACTAAAGTGCTTACCAGGTGAAGGTGAGTGGAGCACAAGGTATACCCTTATCTGGACAAAAATGTGGTGCTGTGAGAATCGTGTTTTTTTTAACACCTTTGATGTTTTACAGCCACATCTTCTGAGAGACAAGCCAGCTGAGATGGTGAGATGGATTACAGACCATCTTACAGAGACCACAGAACTGCAGGTGATCTCCTCCCCCAGCCGTATTCTGGCTTTCCCCATGGCCGATCAACAGTCTGCTTCGTAGCMCCCACAGTGTGTGACTAATATGGACTTTTTGCTTGGAGGATTATGTGTCTAAAGAGTGTGTGTGGGTTTGTTTTAGTTTATTGTGAGGACCCACTGTCCACCAAATGTATGTATTTTTGACTAGCTGTACAGGAATTTATGCTAACACTGTTTTTGACGTCCATCATGACAAAGTGGGCGGTCTTTTGGGGTGTGTGACATCACGTGCAAAGGGTCAATAAATTCAATTCAATTCAATTTATTTATATAGCACTAAATCACAACAATTGTCGTCTCAGGGCACTGTACACAAAAAACAATAAATCTAAAGAATCAGTAGATTGTGTTTAATCTTCACTTCATCACAGTCTCCATCCTGAGCAGTACAGTGGTGACAGTGGAGAGGAAAAACTCCCTTTTAACAGGAAGAAACCTCCAGCAGAACCAGAACCAGACTCAGGACCATTTTAGACAACTAATGTCAACTTATGGTATATTTTTGTGACTAAATTACTAATAAAAGTTATATATTTGATCAATTTGTTATCATTACAGTATGCACACGCATAAAATTGGCTTCCAGTTGATTTTTTTAAATTCCATCTTTAACGTAGATGTCTTTAAAATTTCGTAAGTCAATATAAATTGTCTAAAACATTATAGTGTGATAGGGCCTTTAGCATTTTCACACTTGACTGAACCACAGGCCCATTTGACAGGCAAGCTGGTCCTGTCCTGGCTTCAACTCTGGGCACTAGAGTGCGACCAATTTGGTCGCAAATGCGACCTGATTTCCTAATAGTGCGACTAAAAAAAAATGTCCGGTCACACTGGTGCGACCAATCGTTCGAGGGGAGGGGTCGCCCGCTGAAACACAAAGTTTCCACGTTCCATAATGAATCCAGCAGCATCAACCACAACAGTCGCCCGCCGTCACAGTCTCCATCTCTCCTAACACTGCGCTCTGCTCGCGGCCCCGCTCCACACCTCCCGCACACACACGTTTGTTGTTCTATCCTCATGGGGACGTTGCATTGGCTTCCATTCATTTCACTGTCAATTCTTTAGCCAACCATAACCTCCCAGGTAGACTACACACCTGACCCAAACCCTAACTTCACCTGGCTGTGTGTACCAGGGAAATGGTCAATAATTGTACCCACCATGAAGCAAAAACCTGTACATACACACGCGTGTGCGCACGCATAGCGAAACAACCACAGATTTTTATTTTTTTTACCCAGACCGGAGTCTGAAAAACATTTTTTTCTTGTTAGCTGTGGAGATGAAAAGAAGATGTGGACGGTTGCGCGCTCTTACGTTCATTTTGCTAAACTGTCGAGTTCTGCTCTGTGAGCACTACAGATCATTTCAGCAGCATGAGGAAGCTCACCTGTATGGCAGGCTGCTGTTACACTTAATCGGTTTCACCACAGTTACATTCCAAGTATCTGAAATTAGTTCTTCGGTGTCTCAGGAGGACAAAACTAGACATATTAGATATTTAAGTGAAATAGTATAAGATTCAATTAATGCTAAATAAATTGCAGAATTTTGTGTTATTTTAAAAAAGAATCTGCACAACCTTTTAATAAATATCAGTAATATTTCTGATATTAATCATTATTCTCTGTTCATC